ACTGTCCGAAAGAACCGGTTCGCGGAAAAGAACCGAACTTCCCATAACTAACTTGAACCAGCGAGGCACTCCTTCTTCCCCCTCCTTCTCTCTCTTTCCCCTTACACACACACAGGGGCGGAGCCTCTTTTCACATCCAACTCGAACATCCAATAAAAGTTCGCAACACAAAAATGAATACAGTGCAACCTAACATTAAGCACATTGTTATCTATAACACAACATGCTTGAACATGCTACAATATTGTTTTATTGCTTTGTCTTCTGGGTAAATTTCACCTTCATAAAGCCAGAACCATTCATTGCAAACCTAACTTTAGAATGTTTTCATCTGATATAAAGTCCCTTTTTACTTCTTTTAAGAATATGTCAAATCCTTTGAACTCGAAGGCTTCTAAAACTTTTAACATTCTTGAGTCTATTGTAAGCTATCTTTAAAAGTCTTTCCTTTCTTTCTTTTTTCTTCTTCTTATCATTGGTATATTTTGTTAATTTTGTATAGCTTGTCTAACTTCATGTGATGATGTCCGTTAGCCCCATGTTATTTCCTAACTGTTGTTATTTTTTCAATTGCAATAAAAAAAATAAAATAAAAAATAAACTCTCTCGCTCTACAGCTCTGCATGAAACAAGAGGAGCGAAGGGAAACGAATGACCAAAAACAGGAACATTACTGAAAATTTCAAAATACACAAGCTGGGTTTTTTGGCATGGGAGCTGAACACACAGCAGCCAGAAATACAGCTTGGGTGAGCCCGAAATAAAATTAATAAATTATTAATTGCTTAAAATAATAAAAAAATAAAATATGAATAGAGGCGGGACTATCATCCATGTAAGAATAGAAACAGTTGGAAACAGTTGGTCGCGGTATGTGCCTATGGTGCGGAATACGCCAAAAAATTCCAAAGAAGAAGACAATTTCAAAATAAAAGACATGAAAATATAAACTGAACAAAAACACAAAACAGACGTGACAACAGGAAACGTTTTTTTTTATTATTATTATCTTGATTATTACGTTTAACCATAAAATACTGACAGAAGATTTATCAGTGGTATTTCAGAACTACAAATTATTTTGCATATATTCAAAAACAAACAAATAAACAAATATACCATGAATTTAACAGCAAAAGGGAGATCACTACAGCCCCCCTGAGACCAGCTAAGAGCTATGAAAATGGCTCAATACATTTGCATCTGCACAGGTCAGGGTATGAAGTGCAGTGCAGGACCCAGTGAGACCTCATGCATCTGGGTGACCAAAATTCTGACTGAATTTTCGAGATTATTTATAAAAACAAAAACAAACAATGTTTTCTCATTTCTTCTTTATAGGACATTCACAGTATTTTTCAAACCCAGCTGAACTGAAGATCCTAGAAGCTTCCCAACATGATGAACAATCAAGACAACACATGAATCACACAAGGTACACGCTAATGGAATAATAGGCTAAATGTAGGTGATATAACCATTAAAGCTATATTTTTTTGTTAAATGGTTTTATTTGTTGTAATTGACATCTGCATTCATCATGAATAAAGAACAGTGATCTGGAATTTGCTGTTTGAGTTTTGGAATTTAATCCTCAAAGTTGTCATTCTAAAACTATGTATTTTAGTGGAGATACACATTTTGATTGTGTTTTGTTGCCTCTTATTGCAGCGATTCTGTCAAATCAGTTAATTTGGTGTATCTGTGTGATTCAAAGATGATTTGACGTGGAAGCTTGAACATGGTCCCTTACAACAAAGACAAAATATTAAGCTAAATCAATGTGAAATCAGCATAAAACATCAACATAAGATATAAAGTAAAAAGAATATAGACATGGATATAAAGATATATGAATGAATGATTTGTTGTATGAGTGAAATTATTTATGAATGGATATATGAATAAGCAAGTATACATGAATAACAATATAAAGAAAATACAATAAATAATGAATTGTAAATGTATTTTTAGTCTCAACCAAATGAATGAACCCACTGTCACCCATAATATACATGACTTTACATTTATCAAAAATAAGAGAAACCGGGTGTAACTTCGGCTTTTAAACATGCCATCTCTAAAAATTATATGAAAAGTGAAAACCCATAATGACATTTAAAAAATCTCTCAGATTTGAGGCTATTGCAGTCGTCACCCAAAGAAATGTCAGCATAGATGTGTGGACTTCAATCAGTATCTTCCATCTCGCAGTCGGTCTGATTCTCCTGCTCTGCAGTCCCAGACTTTAAAAAATATTGAAGAACAATGTTTATTATTAACCCTTTAATGGATAGCTCACCCAAAAATGCTGTCATTTTTTACTCCTGTTTTTCCAAACAATTTTTTTCTTAATATATTTTGTGTTCCGCAGAAGAAAGTCAGTCGTGCAGGTATGAAATGATATGAGACTGAATAATTTATAACAGAATTTTCATTTTGTGTCGATCTATCACTTTGGAGGATTTCTAGAATTTAAGCAAAATATCATTTATCCATTGGAATTATACAAACACAATAATGCTGTCTGATCTAACAAAGATGTAGTTTGTTTTCTGGTTGCTACATAATGAAACAGAATGTACGGTACACAAAGAACAGATTAACAATGAAAATAAAAACTCATAACTAATGATAAGGATGAATAGTTGGACACATTTGCCTAAAGGCATCCAATGATCATACAGAATTGATACATCATTGAATGAAATTGTATGTTGAACATGCCTGAATACCTCAAGATAAATGAAAAGTTTTATATTTCATAAAAATAGATGGATTCGGCATCAATCAGGACTCAAGATTGTACTGTCCCATTACTCATATAAAATCTTCCTGATTTTGTGGATCTTCTTCCATGTCAACATCAGTCTTCCTAGTTAAGATTTAAAGATTTATATTCAGAGAGTGATTTCAAGATGTCGGATCTCTCACTTTTCTTGGCCTGTGTGATGATGCTTTCCAGGATGGGCTGCATGGAATAGGCGTATTCCATAAGGCTCCTAGTTTTACAGTTTTCTCCTTTGTACGCGTAGCCACCGGTGTGCACGCCAATCAGATAGCCGTCTTCGTCAAAAACTGGAGAGCCAGAAGATCCGTGAAAGAAACAAGAGTTATAAATGATCTGGTTGTCATGCATTTCCCATTTCTCTGCCAAAGACTGTTGTGTCATCACGTGAATGAAATTGACATTCTCAGAGATGTGTTTATCTGCAGCCTCTTGTAGATTCTCTTTCCCAATGATGAAACAGGGGTCCATTTTCTTGACCCCTTCACCCGGATGTCCCACAATGCAGATCCCACCACGGTTAGGAGGGGGGCCATGAATGTATCGACTGAGCAATCCAGGACAGTCAGTGATTTCATCAGCGTCTTTCAGTTCAAGAAGAGCAAAGTCAAGATATGGGCCCGTGTTGATCTTTCCATGATAGTATGCTGCAAGATGTTCCTTGACCGGCACACACTTGGTCTCCTTTGCTTCCAGATCTTCATAGCCAAATACTGCTGTGAAGGTCTTTGAAAGTTTCCTGGTGAAAGGGTCAAATTCTCCAATAACATGAGCATTAGTGAGGATGAATCTGTCAAAGAGTAAGAAGCCGGTTCCTCTGGCGGATCCCTCCACTCGAATCTGACACACAGAGTCAGAGAGTCTCATGAGCTGCTTCACTTTCTTTACTTCCAAGAAACTCTGAACGCATTTATCATATTCTGCTCTAAAGAACTTTAGGATATCGGATTTGTTCTTCAGGTTCTCTCTCTGCTTTAATGTCTCCTGTAAATCTTTAAACTGAGCACGAAGTATTGCTAGAATCTCTTTGGAGTGTGGAATTATTTTAGGAGAATTAGTTGCAGGATTTGTGGATTTCATTGTGTTTCTCTTCTGTGTTTCTTCTTGTTCAGTGTTGATGGGATGTTCATTAGTATCAACGTTTTCTTTCAAATCAGCGGCTGAAGCTTCATTCATTTCAGTGCTGTCATCACTCAAGACACCATCTTGAAAATCAAGGCTATCTGGCTGGTTGTTGTCACTGATAACAATGATCTCAAAATGCTTTCCATCCAGATGCTCTACGGTCTTTGACATTTCATATTTTGTCTCGCTCTCCAAGTTATAGAGTGCACACTGTTTCTTGAATATGGCATTGATGAATCGTCCGTCACGCCGAAGAGCAGCATTCAGTTTGTCTTCTTTGAACGCGTACACACAAACATCTTCAACCTTCTTCTTTAGCTCATTGTTTTTCATTAAGCGTTTCACTTTCTTCCCTCCTTTTGTTTTAATGTAAAAGATCACTAAGCTTTTTGATTCATTGGAGATTGAAAGCCTTCCAGTTGTTTTTTTCGTTGTAGCAACATTTCCATGATTTTTAATGAAGGATACATCTAAGAGCTCATGTCTTTCAATAAGACAGCAGGGGAAATCGGTCTTGACAGCCGCTCTAGGAACTGCTCCTTTGGATCTCTGGATCACTATTTCTTTCTCCTTGTTGTCTTTTTTAATCTTTCTGAAAATCTTGTTTGTATTAAGAGCATCGAGCACAGTCTTGGATGTATCACACGCCACTGCATGTTTCTCATATTTGTAGCGGAAATTAAAAGTGTGGCTTTGCCCTTCAGCACGCTGTTGAATTCAGAAGAACAGTAATACACAAAAGCATTCATTTAAACACCTGAATAAAGGACTTCAGTAAAATGATTATCAAGTAATATTATAATTTATACAAATAATAACAATAATTTTCCAGATTTAATTTGTTTCCACAAGCTCTCGATTCAGTTATTTTAATTCATTTGATTTAATTTCCATTTTATTTTATTCATGAAGTGGAGCAGACTGCAGGACAAGAGGTGCACTACTGGTCATTTTCAGTGAAACTGTTTTAGATTAAAAGATCAGTCTTGAGATTTTTAGAAACTTATAATCACTAATTACTGGTAAATCTTTATTTTTCATAATCAATAACCCATCCTAAAATATGATAATAATAATAATAATAATATATAATGCATTGCAGCTGTTAAGTATCAAGCAGTGTTATTTTAGTATCAATGATATGCTATTATAGTTTTTGTTAATATTTTGAAATAGATTTTATTTATATAGTGTTTTTAATATATTTTCATTTTAAAGTTTTAGTAATTGTTGTTTTTGTAATAAAAAAAAAAATTCTATATAGTTTTTTAGGTTTTAGTCTTTAGTTTCATTTAGTTTTAGTTTAAAGTTATTTTAGTACTTCAACGTAAACTAAATAAAGATGAGAAATGTGAACTAAAATACGTTTTTTTATATTTCATTTTATTTCAGTTAATGTTTAGTTTATTTCAAGTTATGAAAATAGTGTTTTTTTATGGATTTAGATAACAGGTATAACCCTGGTTACCAAAACACCTTATGAGGTACATTTATTCACTTACATGAGATGAGTCTCACCTTGCATTTATTTATTTATTAAAACATTATTAAAAGTCTCATACCTGCTGCAGATGACTTTTTGATTATCCTTCTTCTACTTTCTCCTTACAGAAACGGTTTGTTCTTTCCTGAGTAAATGAATATGAAATGTTGTCAAATTGCTAATATGAGATCACCAGTGTAAATGATTTTACCATCATATTGTAAATCATAATGAATGAGGAGCAAAAAGAGCGATATGGATTTTTAAAGCAGCTAACAAGACTTCCTAAAACATTTTATTTTGTAGAGAAATAGAGAAATTCCACACACACACACTTTTTCATGAGCACCCATAAACAATTTATTCAGTGATATGTCAGTATGCAACAAACCTTTAGTGGATCACGGCCATTAGTTCCAAACCCCTTTCCTTTTTTCTTGCTTGTATGATTTTTTTCCTAGAACAATAGCAGAAGCAACAATAAAATAGCATATGTATTAATTTAATTAATTAATTAAATAAAATTAATTAATTAAATACATTTGAATCTAATACAATTGAGGACATTTACCAAATTAGCACTGAATTTTATAATACTGCCACACATAATTAAACAAAAGTACACTCAAAGATTCTCAGTTTCTGTAGCATGCACCATTTCACTCGAGATTGTTCTGATGCCCAAATGAAAATAAAATCAGGAATATCAGAGTGAGAAAAAGGTAGGTCATACTTACTATATTGCAAGTATTCTAAAGCCATACATTAGCTTTGTGTGAGGAACTGACTGAAATGTGTTACTTACTGAAACTCTTTGAATATACATGCAAAACCAAATGCAGAGGGAAAACATTTTTTTTTTATCATTTGAAATTAATATAGGAATAATTACTTATATTTTGGTCTGATTCTCACACAGGCTTCAGAAGTTCTACTTAACCTTTTTGTGTTCCATGGGTGAGTATTTTTATTTTTAAAAAATATATACTGGTTCACTTGCGCTCGCTCATTTACATGACCTGCATGTCTTCATTGGCTGTTTTTTAGATACATGAGCAATTACCTAAAATAACTTTTTAGACCTGAATCATTATTATTTAAATATCATGAGCTTACCTGAGTATTGTCAGCAGTTTGTGACTCCCTTCTATCTCCAGTGTTACTCCCAGGCTGCTTTTTCTGAAATAGAAAACAAACTTCACATTTACACTAAGGCTAAACAATTCAATACAATGTTCAACATAAGAAACTAGTAAATGTTAAATAGCCAAGCAAAGAAATTAGAAAATTTATTTTTATAAATAAGATATATAATCCATGCTTCTTGATGTTTTGCATTTTGTCACCTCAA